GTCAGGCGCCTGCCGCCTGTAGTGTAGGCAGCCGGAGCACACCTGTGTCGGGCGGGCCAGCCTATCCACACATCCGTGAAGCTGGCCCTCCACAGCTCGCCAGGTGACTTCGGCCCTAGAGGTAAAGGCTTAAATAGTGCTGACCATGAGAGCCGAGCATCGCGAGGGTCGCAAATCATCTGGGAGATGTCGAGGTCCGATCGAGATATCGTCCGTTCCGGTTTCCACTGTTGAACGCCACACCCAACTACCACGCCACGTCGCACCGCCGGGCCACGCCGATGGAATCAAGTCGCTCGACGCATGGTCGCTTGATATTCACGAGGCGGGCATGGAGGAAGCCAAAAGAGGGAAGCGGGGGCAAGGGAGGGGAGGAGGCGGGAGGGGGGGAGTGGCGTAACGGTGCGTTGGTGCGGTGGCCACGACGCGCCGCCGCGCCACTCCCTGGACGGACAAGACGAGCAGGGGCCTAACTGCAGCAGCATGCCTCAGCGGGCGTGCCTAGATAGATAGATAGATAGATAGATAGATAGATAGATAGATAGATAGATAGATAGATAGATAGATAGATAGATAGCACGTCCTTTCCGCTACCGAGCACGTGCTCGAACGCGGCGCTGAATATGTTTGAGCTGGCGGTGAGTCACCCGCCTGCCTGCTCGTTCTCGGTGAGGCGATTCGCAGGCTGTGGAAGCCGGGCGAGGAACGAATGGAGAGGTACACCGTTAAATGAAATGATCCATACAACCACGAGTATCAGGGTATCGCGAGCAGGCAGGGCGCGGAGATATATCCTTTCAGGAATTCCTCGGCGCCGTTCTACAGGGCTTACAGGGATCCCGCAAGGTGCTGCGTTGCCTATGGGGTGTGAAACTGAACAACTGCCGGTGCAGCACCCGCCCCGCCTCGCCCCGCCCCGCCCCGGTCTTTGTACAGCTCGGGCTCCGAGAAGGCACAAAGCTAATAATGATGACGGTTCGACGACGGCAGGGCGTCCGAGACGGTCCGGGACGCGCGGCCAGTGATGCGCGACCGCACGCTGCCGGAGGCCCGGCGGGCGTCCTCCGTCCCCCTGCAGTCTCAGAGCAGCGGTCCGCCGGTATCCCTCGGTCCCTCGGTCCTCGCCCGGCCCTTCTGTCACTTCTGTCGGACGCGAGGGGACAACGGCTAAGGTAATCCGGCTGACAGCCGTCAGATAATCCTGCAGGTGTAATTCGTGGGAATTCGAAAAAATTCCGGGGTAATCCGGAGAAATTTTAGGGTAATCCGGGGTAGTCCCAGAGAAAAAGCAACGAAATCCGGAGGATACTCCAGAGGAAATCCGGGTAATCCGTAATCCGGCGGGCACAAAGTTGAACAGTCGTATCCCCTTGGTCGGACGTCATGGCGCCCGCACCCACCTCTCGTATTGGCGGTGCCGGTGGGTCCGGGAAGCGAACACACACTACGCCTCCCGTTTGCTTTCACGAATGTGCTCGCCGAGGTGTGCACAAACCATTAGCGCGCGGCTCATGAGAAACGGGGAGAATTTGAGTTGGAAAGAGGAGAGGGCGTGGGACGGCGGGGGGTGATGGCTGCGAGGACGCGCCCTGCGTCCCAGGGGAGCGCCCCCTCTCTGCCCGGGACGCCGCTGAGCCGAGACGCGCGGGTCCCCCGGGACGAGATGACGCCTGACCGATAAACAACTACTCTGACCCGCTGTTCGCAAGGTCCGCGCTATCACGCACGCGTACCTACACACGTGTACACACATGTACACTCACACACACACGCGCGCTCACACACACACACACACACAAACAAACAAACAAGCGCGCGCACCCTCCCCTCGTGGGAATCGAGAGATGCGTGTACCTGCGTTGGCTATTCGGCAAGGACAGCAACAGCGCGCTCACCTGCTGTCCTCCTGCTGAGTGCCTTCTGGACGCTCCGCCTGTCCCTGTCTGTTCCGCCCGTTCCGCCATGCCCTGTCCCTGACCACCGGTCGCGTCCGTCTGTTGCAGGTGGCGTATGTGATCGCCTTCACCGTGGAGCTGTGGTGGATCGTGGAGACTGAGGGCGGCCTGCCCGCGCCCGCCCACCTGCTCTGCGCCGGCTACTTCGTCAGCCTGGTGCTCTGCGCCGTTCTACTCCACGGCCTCACGGTGGTGAGTATACCGAAACGAGTCAAAAATACATCGAAACGACGTGGATTTTCCTCTCTGTCGCCGTTCCGACATCGTCCCAACATCCGTTTTCCTAGTCGCTCACGTTTGCACCTTGTCCCCGCAGAGGCGCAGCCTGTGCCTGGTGGTGTGGCTGGTGGGCGTGGCCTCGCTCGCGCTCCCGGAGGCCGGCATGGTCCTCTACATGGCGCTGCAGTACTGGGTGAGTCAGGATGCGCAGCGCCGCCTCCTGTAAGCAAAGCGTGGCGGAGCTACGGCCTCGTTGGGCTTGAGCCTCGAAACCCCTCGTCATATTATCGTCTCTGTTACAGAGACTGCAGTCGCTGTACGGACTGACGGAGATCACCTGCTGGGCATGCAGACTCTTCATCAATGTAAGTAGCAAGGAGGCGGCGACTGTTTTTATGTCTCATTATAAATAATCGGGCACGTGTGAAATGGACGATTATTTCGACCGGCTACTGACTTAGAGGGAGCACCGCAAAAAAAAAAAAACGCATTGTATAAGCATCAGTGTGCAATCTTGTTCGCACCTCAGCCAAGCGAGCGCGTCAACCCTGCCAAAGAAGTTGCCTACCTCACGGCGCTGCCACTGAGGAATCCATTCATGACGACTTTTCCCCTTCTCACGTCTACATTGATATCGGCTCGATAGTGAATTTCTCTTCTCTCCTGTCTGCGCAGGCCGTCGGTGTGGTGAGCGTCCAGTCGCTGTACTCGTCCTGGCGAGAGGAGTCCGAGGTCATGCGGAGGCTACGCGACCTAAACATGGTGAGCAACTTAGAGAGAGGTACAATCCACCCAAAACGTGTTGCCTTCAGTGCGCATTTGGAGCCAATTGAAATACATCTCATGTAAAATGAGAAGACCGGAGAAGAAAATTAATAAATAATCGTTGCGCTTTTCGATCTTGCTACCCCGAACCAAGAACGACACGAACATACGTTTTATTAAAGCCCTGGAAACTGAACACCAGGTGGCTGACTCACGCCGCGCACTTTCGGAGTTATACTGTACCGCATGCACGCGTGCGGGCGGGTTGTCTGCTCACACGGCAAGAGTCAGCCACCTGGTACATGTGTGGATTACCAAATCAAAAGAGCCATGCTTGCTTAATCCAATCGTTCACTGCGCCCTCTTCCAGTCCTCCACCATGTCCACCATGTCCACGTCCAACGGTCGGCGTGGGTCGGTCGCCTCCAGCAACGGCGTGGGCCCGATGGTCCACATGGCGCCCCACATGGCGCCGCACATGGGGCCCCACATGGGGCTGGCCTACCAGAACGAGGGCTTCGTGGGCTCCATGAGCCAGCTCAACGGCAAGCCCCCGGGGGGCACCTACGCCGTGCCGCTGCAGCCCCTGCACGGCGGCAAGCTCAAGAGGTACGTGTCGGCGTGGCCATTGGCCAACATCCTTGATGCGTCTCTTTCGAGTGTTACTTACGGCAACCTTGACTGTCCGTCCAGGTCGGCGTCGTCCGTGTCGCGCAGGTCCACGTCGTCCGCCATGAGCCTGCCGGCCATGTCGCCCATGGACGGCTCGGTGTACGGCTACCCGGTGGGCACCCTCATGGCGCCGCCCATCGGGCCCATGACGCTGCCCCTGGGCGCGCACATGGCCAGCCCGCTGCCGCCGCCCGGCGCCCTGCACCGCACCGACTCGGCCAGCGAGTTCAACGCCGCGGCCTTCGACGGCATGCTGGCGGCGTCGCTCCGCCACCCGCCCGCCGGCGGGGACGCCGTGGACGGCGGTGGACCGCCTGCTCCCGGACGGCTGTCCCGGGCGGGCAAGGGCCGGGGCCCCGCCAGAGCCCAGTCCCTCGTCGACCTGAGCCGGTCCGCGTCGCGTCTCGGCGACTACTGGCGGGTGGAGACAGTGACGGCGCCCGCGCGCCCCGTGGCCTACATGCTGCCCACCACCAGGAGCCTGGACCGGAGGCTGCGGCCGCGTCGCGCCGTGTCCATGGCCGACCTGGGCGCCAGCGTCCACGCCGCGCCGTTCGTCCACGCCGGCCACTTCGGGCCTGCGCACCACCCCATGTACTACAGGGACGCCTACGGCCGGGACTACGTCTACCCGAACCCCTCCGCCTACGTGCACCCCGGTATGCTGTACAAGGGCGCGTCCAGCAAGACCTCCCTCGGCGCCGCGTCAGATGACTTCCGAAAATACAGGGACGTGGCACTCTAGGCAATGGACGGACCTGCCCGACAGAATCTGGTGCCTACTTAGTCGTGGGTTCCTGCCCGAGAAAGAGCTTCAAACCTAACAAAAATTCCTCACAGCTTATTTGAGCGAGCAAGCAGGATACATCGAAGAAACGTTTCCCAGTGAGTGCCATTGCTGAAGAATGTGAGTAGTTTACAAGAAAATAAGCCTGTTAATTACATCCTAGTTAAATTTTGAAACCATTTGCTCAAACATTCCTTAAAAAGGAAAGACAGTGTTGCCGATAGGATATTTCAAAGTAAAATATACTCAGCACAGCAAAGAGTGAGTTTGTTTATCAAAGCCTTCTAATGGCTTGGCTAGTCATAAATGCCATCCTTAGATTTAAAGTTAAAGTGATACGTGTAAGTAGAGAAATAAGAAATTCTGAAATAAATTGTAATTCCGTACAGGCTATTTTTGTTGAGCTAATAAATGTATTTATACTGCCTAAAATAATAAATTTTGACAAGGAATTTAGTACATTTTTTGACTTTATCATTCTGTAGCAACTAATTATCACACACCAACAATTCACTGCGTCAGTCATTGCGAGGCAGCCATGCCAAGACACATGTGTCCACACGTAAACAAAAGAGAAAAAAAAAAAAAGAAACGACAAACTTCAAGTTGATTCTGAGATTTATAAATAACAACCAACCATTTGATTCTTACAAAACAGGAATCAAACAGGGATATAAAGATGGAAAATTTATAGACCTGTACAAGATTGAAAACTTTAAGACTAGCTTCAAAATATTTATCATAACAAACCACATGATCCTTAGTGAAAGCTCCGTAAACAAGATTAATACTAATACTCAAAAATACTTTTTGAAATAAGAAATTTTGGTTATATACTGTTATTAGCTTTACTCAAGCCTACAGAAAAGATGGAGAAAAAAAACTAACACGTAAATGTAAACATTTTGTCCTAGAAGTCATGCAAATGTGTTTCAAATTTTGTATGACACTTTTCCATAAAGACAGACAGGAATTATTTAATTCCAACAGCTTTAAAAGTGGGCAGCTATCAGTTTAGTACAGAGA